AAATTTACGAGTTCGAGTCAAATTTAATTTAAGATCCCCTACAAATAATATTCTTTGAATTTCAGGACGAAACACAATAATATTTAATTATTTCTTATTGAGAAGAATCAATCTCTCATACCTTAAAGCAATTGATTCTTACTCCAATCGAAATAAAGAAATATTAAAAATCCATTCTAAAGTTCATTACTAATTCAAAATAAACAATACCCAAAATAATTTTAAGAGAGAAAATAATAATATCTAATTATTTCCAATCGAGAATAAATGACCTCTCATACCTTATAACAATCATTTATTACTCCAATCGAAATGAAGAGTTATCACTATTCTGTTTTAAAATTCAATATCGATTCGAGTAAAAACGATAATATCTAATAATTTCCAATTGAGAATAAATGACCTCTCATACCTTAAAACATTCATTTATTGCTCCAATCGAAATGGAGAGATATCACTATTCCATCTTAAAAATCAATATTAATTCGAGAGAAAATGGTAATATCAAATTATTTCCAATTGAGAATAAATGATCTCTCATGCCTTAAAGCAGTCATTTATTACTCCAACCGAAATGAAAAGATATTACTATTCTCAATATCAATTCGAATGTTATTATTTTGAAAAACCCATTGGAAAACACATGCAAAAATAAAGCAAATTAAAAGCATATATCAAGCAAGTATAATTAATTAATTATTTTACCGATATTAAATGAGAATAAGGATGTTCAATTATTTAAATATCTCGAAACGAGACCTTAGATTCAATCTAACAATCTTTTCTAAATGGGATAGACTTTCATTTTAAAATTATCGAAAGTAATTTTCTTATACGTTAAGACAGTCACTTTACGAAAATATTAAAATGAACGAATATTACCCTTAGTTAATTTATTTTGATTCGAGTCAAGAGATGCTTATGAGGGTATCATGCAAAATTAATTAAGGACTAAAATGAACTAACATGCAAGCAACATGAAAAAATTAAAATAAAATAAAAATAGGACTAAAACATAAACAATCAAAGCATCATGTCAAAATTAAAATACAATAAAGTACAAAAGTGACTAAAATGAGCATGCTTAATATTGAGTGCTAAAATTACAAAGAATAAAAATAAATAAAACATTGATAAAAATAAACTAAAATTGCATGACCAAATTAAAATAAAAAAATAGATTCTGGTTCGAAATATAAACATGCATAAATTATAGGGGTTATTTCCTAAATATTCCTTTTTTTTCCTAGCCTAAAATATACAATCAAACAAAAAAGGAGAAATTACTAAATCAGCCTATAAGTATTTTAAAAAAGTTAAATCATCACTACACATGACCAAAATGTAAAAAAACACTAAACATATAGGGATTAAAATGCAAATAATCCTAAACATGTATAACATGTATCTACAAGTGACTAACATGCAAAAAAAGCTAAAGTTTGGGGAACTAAACAACAATTAAAAAAAATTACAAAGCATACATGGAAATGAGTAAATTATAAAATCAGTCCCTATAGGTGACTATTTTACAAAAACACGTGCAAGTTAGGGGACCTATCCGTAATTTCCCCTAATTTGTTCTATATATACAACCTAAATCCTTTTTTATTTTAACCGATTTTTTTAGAAAAATTTAAAAACTCTATTCTCTATCTTCTTTTCTTCAGCCAGCCTACTGCCGACCGCCTTTCTCCGCCCTTGGTCGTCGTCTGACAGCCGTTTCGATCGCCGCATATGGTGATCAGAGCTCCCAAATTGACCCAAAATATCCTAAAGGTTCATATCTACACCCCTAGACACATATCCTAGGCTAAAACTACCTAAAAAGAACTCTAAACTACACCAAAACGAGCCCCGACCCTTCATTTCTCAAGCACTCTGGCGACCTCCGATGAAGACGAACCGACCCTGGTTTGACTCCCCCGAGGTAAACTACTCAACTCCTTTCTCCTTTGGTTTAAATGACATGCAAAATGGGGTTTTTTAATTTCTTGTTTCGAAACTGTAAAAAAACACCGAAAACACCTTTCCAACATTTCTGCCTTTTTTTATTGTTTTTATTGCTTTTCTCCCACTTAAAAAAATGAGAGATTATAATAAGTTTTGGGGTCTTTATAATCCCTTTTTTTTTTATAGATTTTCATCATTTTAAAATGAAATGATTACAAGCTTTGCGTGTGAGTTTGTTTGGTTTGTGTGTTGAATTGGGATATCTAACAATGCAAGGGCTTGGTTGGTGGCAGCGGTGGTGGTAGATGACTGGTGGAAATGGGCGGCAACGATAGATGACTGGTGGAAACGGGCGGTGGCTGAGACTTGATCTGGATCGTTGGATGGGTCCAGATTGTGCAGCTAAAATGGTGCGACACCAAAGGGTTTCCTAAAACCCTAATGATTGAGGTGTGTGGGATATTGGATCTGATTTGATCCAACGACATAGAAGCTTGCAGCACCCTGGAAAATAAAGAAACCCTAACCAGGTTCGAACTTCTATGCATAGGATGTAACATTGGGCCACGGGTTGCTTGTAATTTGGGCTTCATTTGATCTATAAAAATAATAATAATAATAATACATATTAGCATATTTTATTTATAATAATAGTAATAATTACTAATAATAATAATAATAATAATAATAATAATAATCTGGGACGAAAACGAGTATCGACAACTCTAATGTTTCATTTTGGGCTAAAAAGGCCACTCTATGTTGAAAATAATTAGTTGACAAACAGTTAACACTAAAATGAAACTTTGAGGGCCAAAATGCTATAGAAAAAAGAATAAGAACTAAAATTACTATTCAATTATACGTTAGGGGATTTTTTTGCCTTAAAATGAAATGTTTGGGGGTTGAAATGCTAAAAAAAGAATAGGGAGCAAAATAACCATTTTAATAAATGTTGGGGGCTGATTTTGCTATTATGCCAAAAGAAATTGACCCTGACTTTTTTTTAAAAAATCTATATGATTTTATTTCGTTGGTCGACTGATTAAAAATACTCATAATATTTCACTTTGACACCCTAAAAGTTTCTAAAAAAAGTTTTGTATATATATTTTATATTATGGGTAAACTATACGTTTGGTAACTGAATTTTCTTTCCTATTTCACTCATCGTACTTTTAATTTTTTAAGTTACTCATTAAACTTTATAGATTAAACTTTTTTGGTCACTATATCGTTAAATAATTAACAGCGTTATAACATGGCAATATTTTAATCAAAACGACGTCGTTTTAGTCTAAAATTTAATTTTTTTCAGGAATAAAAAACGACATCGTTTTGATGTAAGTTGTCATGTCATAACTTCATTAATTATTTAACGATAGATTGACCAAAAAAATCAATCTGTAAAGTTCAGTGAGTAAATTGAAAAAATTGAAAGTACTGTGAGTGAAATAGGAGAGAGTAAAGTTTAGTTACCAAACATGTAATTTATCCTTATATTATATAATATAAAAATAAATAGGGTAAATTACATTATTCCTCAATATACTTTATTCTTTCTTTTATTTTGCTCACTATACTTTCAATTTTTCTAATTTGCTCACTGAACTTTACATATTAAATCATTCCGCTCACTCTGTCGTTAGGTATTTAACGATGTTATGACATGGCATAAGAAATGTCATAAGCATCAAAATGACGCCGTTTTAAATCAATTATGAAAACCTTTTTCTTCTTCATTTCTTTATTTTTTCCTTTTTCTTCTCCCCATTTTCTCTCTACTCTGCAACTAGTTGCCGCCGTTGACCACTACGCCATTTTCATTCCGGCCACCTTTCACCATCGATGATGGTGGCCGTTCGGTCCCAAATTTCATGGGTTGGTTCATCTTGACCCATCGAGTCCAAATTTGGTGGTTGTTTCATAAGAAAATGTCTTAAAACCCGTGAATCTATACTAAAACTTTTTAGCTTCCTCACTTACAATCTCAAATTCGTGGACTTTGAAGCAAGTTCCGACAAAATAGAGGTTGGAATCGGACTCACAGTGTCAAGGCGAAGTGACCCATGAAATTAAAATCTAGCGACCACTATCTATAGTGGTCGACGGTAGCCGACATCCGACCACCTTTAGCTTTTTTGTTAATTTTTAATTATTTTGTATTAGCAAATAAATAAATAAAAATACCATGTCATCAAAACGTTAGAGAGATAACGGGGGAGTGAGTAAAATGATTCAATTTGTAATGTTCAGTGAGCAAATTAGAAAATTGAAAGTACAATGGCCAAATAGGAGAGAGAGTAAAGTACAATGAGGAACAATGTAATTTACCCAAATAAATAAATGACACCATTTTTAGAAATGTTTTCCCTTAAAAAAGAAATGGAATAATATCAAAATTAATCCTCAACATTTAACCATTTTAGTTCTTATTATTTTTTATAGCAATTTGGCCCTAATGTTTTATTTTAGGCTAAAAAGGCCCCTCTATGTTGAAAATAGTTAGTTAACAAATGGTTAACATTAAAATAAAACGTTGAGGGCCAAAATGCTCTAATAAAAATAATAAGAACTAAAATGACTATTCAGTTAAATGTCAGGGGTTTTTTTGCCTTAAAATGAAACGTTTGAGGCTTAAATGCTAAAAAAAGGAAAAATGACTATTTTAATAAATGTTAGGGGGTTGATTTTGGTATTATGCAAAACAATTGACCCTAACTTTTAAAATATATATATATATATATATATATATGATTTTATTTAAATACTATAAATTCAAAATTATGAGACCATAATTTAAAATTTCTTACTCCATCCCTCTCTCAACTTATATGGGTTTGAATCTCGACGTTTATATTGAAAATGTAATACCTTTCAAATGTTCAATAATTTTTTAATTTGCAAAACAAATTGTTAAAGGATGAAAGTGAAAGAAGTGAATTACTTGAAGGATGAAATCAATCATTAAGCCTAAAGTGAAAAAGGACGTACACAAGAAAGATGGTGCGTGCGATAGCCATGAATTAAAAGACTTAATTTTGGCCGACAATAACGTAACCCCCAAAACTCTCTTCATTATTATCTCTATATTCTCTATTTCCTCTTTTTCTACCTTAATTTATTTAAAAATAAATACAATAAATCACCCAAAGGCCAAAAGCTTCCAAACCCAAATTTGATGTAAGGACATCTTTCTCTGCTCTTCTTCTTCTTCTTTTTATTTTGAATTCAATGGTTGTTTTTTTCCTCTTATGTTTCATCTTTTTATTTTGGTTTGTTTTCTGGTGGAAAACTTAGAACTTTTGTATGAGATGATTCGGTTTTGTTGATGGATTTAAGGGTTTTTGGTTTACTGGTTTATTTGGTGGTAAATTTGTTTTATGGATTCTGTGAATATTTGATGCAAATTTCATTTATATTTAGGGTTTTTTATGGATATTTTTAATCGTATTTAGGGTTTTTTCTGAAAGCGGTTTGTTTGGAAGTAGGTTTAGTGAATTCTGGGAATTGCTTCAACTTCCGTTTCCTTTTAGGAACTCTATTTGTTCTTGATCTTATCTGTTTTAAGGAAATAAAAGAAAGAGAGAAGAAGTAATATTTGCTAGTTTTTTATTTCCATGATTTTACGAATGCCCTTTCTCTCCAATTAGTATATTGTGCTTAGGTTTCCCAATTAATTTTCATTTTGTTTTTGTGTAGAAAGTCAAAGGTAAGAAAATAATAGTAATAATTTGATAAATTTGCAGTTGAATGCAAATATAATATGGCCAACTTGCAACTGGAGGATTTTCATTACATGGCTGAAGATCTCATCGAGGACATGGATGAAGACGACTATGGTAGAGCTGGTGGAGACATGGATGCCCATGAATATGACATGGTTTGTTTTTCATTATGGTTATGCATAATCATGTGATACATTTTTGTTAGTTTTACTTTATTTTGGAATTAATGATGAAATTACTCACCATCAAGCTACATTTTGACCATTTGAGCAGCTGACCAGGGTGACTGATACATCTTCTGGTCAAGCGCGGAATGGGAAAGACATTCAGGGGATTCCATGGGAAAGATTGAACATAACGAGGGAAGATTATAGATTGACAAGGCTTGAACAGTATAAGAATTATGAGAATATCCCAGCCTCTGGTGAAGCCGTAGACAAGGTTTATGCCCCCTCTCCTACCATCTCTAAACGAGCTATGTTGTCTTAAAGGGAATATCATGTTAAACTGTACATAATTTGTATTTTTTGTTATAGGAATGCAAACTGATGGAAAAAGGTGGGAACTACTATGAGTTCTTCCACAACACTAGATTAGTTAAGCCGACAATCCTCCATTTTCAGGTTGGTATCAAAATATATTGTTCTTGAATTTCTTTTTTCCTGTTAGATAACAATGTAACTTTAATGGATTTAATCATTTTTAGAGTAAACTTATCATTTTTAGAGTAACCTTATCATTTTTCTTGGTTCAGTTGTGTCATTGTGTGCACGGAAATTTACCTGATTTTATTCTTTGCTATTGAATTTACTCAGTATTGTATTTTCTCATGTATGGATTTCATTGGTGATATTTATGCTTTTGATCCTGCAACTCTACGTGTGTGAGTGCTTGCATGTCAGGGTGTTCATTTAAGTCTTATTTTCTAGGTCTCTTTCTTTCATTCAAGTACATCTACATTACTTTTGTCATTTTACTCGAAATAGTTCTGCAGTAAAAAATTGAAGTCAATCATAGATTTAGCTTAGAAGTTTAATGCATACTGTGATTATTGAATTAACCAGACTAAGAGAACCTTATAAAAACTATTTATAGCAGGGCAGCAATACATATGTATGTTTATCTATTTATAGTTTGGTGAAATGATTTTTGAAGCTGACAATTACTACTTTGAGATTAAAGGCTTAGTTAGATATATGTGTAATATATGGATATATGTCTTTTAGTGTGTACACACATGTATAGATAGATATATAGATATGTTTTTGTGTGGACACGTATATAGATGCATTTACGGATTTGTCAGTTTCTTAATACTGTTTAAACATCCAAATTTGATTATTGACAAGTTTTTAAAGGTTCAGTTTTCTTATTGAGGAAAAAGTTTAAAGTTGCTAACATTGACCTAACATAATGATTAAAGTTGTTTATAGTGATTCCTGAATTTGCAAGTTTCTCTATCCTATAAGTTGTGGAACTTTTAAGTGCTCCTACATCAAGAGACAATTTTGGAATGTCAAATAGTGGTTTAGATCTTGCTTGGTGTCTGTATTGGGCCATTGTGTTGGTTGGTATAGTGGTGTTTGAGTTCTATGCTATAAGTTCTTATTTGACTAGAGGTAACCTTTCACCCCCACTGAAATGTTCATCGGTTAATGACCAAATTTTTTTCCACAAAACAAATTTCTTGCTGTTCACATGGTGGTTAGTTGATTTAGTCATTAACACTTGCAAAACAATAATCCTACATCATTTGCAATGATTACCAGTGTTGTCAAGGCATGCGCCTAGGAGTGCCTGTGCCTTAGCATTTTTCAATAAAAGTGCCTCAGATCCTGTCAGTCCAGACCCATTCAGTCAGGCGCTCGCCTAGTGCACCTAGGCATGCTTTTTTTGTAAGGCAATAGGCATAAAGAAGGCCCACCTGATTGAATTTCTCTTTAATTTCTTTTATTTTTCACCTTTTTTCTTTCATTTGATATACCTTTACTAGTAAGAAAAATATAATATCAAATTTGATACTTTATATAGTATTTAAGCATTCAACAATAAACATTGACCATAAGGAAATCATGCTTATTGACCAATAAAATAATTGAATGTTTTGTAGATAATCTAGACTCCACTTTAGAGTTTATTATATATATATTTTACAAAAGTTCACACATGCGTATTGCACGTTACTTCACTGAGCCTAGTGCCTTTTTTGTGCCTAGAGCCTGAGGCAATGTAAGGTTTCGAGCGCCTAAAATGCGTGCCTTGCGCCCTTGACAACATTGATGATGACTGTATACCCCACAAATTTTTCTGTAAAATGATCCCAAAGCTCGTTCTGCTTCTATTTGCTTACTGTTGAACTTTTGGATGACACTAAGATATCTCATTCAATATATCATATTGTTTGATACACTTAAATCTCCAAATATCACTGAAAACCATCCATTAAACCATAATATATCACATCGATTTACTACATGTCTTTTGTGATATCCTTTTATTATAGACCAAAAATGTCCAATTGTGGAGAAGGCTGGAATTCATTTTCTCTATACATTTGCATCTAAATTTCCAGCATCTTAGTTTGGATGCATATTTGTTACACTTCATTCTGTCCGTGAAAGTTTATGACATGGTATCTGAGCACAACAACTTTTTTCTTTTTGTATATTGAGGGTATTAAATCTATATTTTGTTATAAACCCCGATGGTGTTTCATTTATATATTTGGTTTCTCTAGGTTGGAGAAGCATTTATTGATTTTTATTTTGTTGTTATACGTTTATAGACACTTGGTAATTGAGCTTCAATAACCTATAGTGGAATGAATTTGCAGCTTCGAAACTTGGTTTGGGCTACTTCCAAACATGATGTTTACCTCATGTCCAATTATTCAGTTATGCATTGGTCATCATTGTCATGCAATCTCTCTGAGATCCTTAATTTTTCTGGGCACGTAGCACCTACCGAGGTATCACAGTTGTACTTATAACGCTCCTTTATCTCTTTTACTTATTGACATTGAGTGGTTTTGATGATGATATTTATTTTAGTAATTATGGTCCACTTTTATTCTAACTTGTATTGATATGTAACTAGAAACATCCTGGAAGTTTATTAGAAGGTTTTACACAAACCCAAATAAGTACACTGGCGGTCAGAGACAATTTTATGGTTGCAGGAGGCTTTCAAGGAGAGCTTACCTTTAAGGTAAGTTAATATTTGCACAGCCTTTTCCCTATATCTTCTTATCTGCTGTTATTAGATGGAGAATATGTTGAACTGACTCATTTCTTTTGAAGTACTAGTGTCCGATGCATATTCAGATGAAGATATGGCCCTTCTTAGGACACCCTCCAAATGCATGGAAAAACATTAAAATAATTGATAATATTTGTGTCAAACACTCAGACCCAAATTCGAATAATTTATTATAGAAATACTAGTTCTTTGATTGATTTTTTAATCATTGGCACTTCTTTGGGGATACAATCAGAGTTATGCTCCTCCAGTTTTTCTCTCCTTTCTCTGAGATAAGCTAGCAATCGTATTTGAGATGAATGAAACCCTTACGATTTGCAAACTAATACAAATTCCATTTAGGAATCATTTGATCTTTTATCAGTTATGTGATGATTTGATATATGTTATTATTGTTAGAGTTAAAGAGCTGATAATCTTCAGGGTTAAGGTCCTACAAACTTGTTTAGGAATTTTCTATGATTATCGGAAGAAGAGGTAGTGTTTGAGAGAGAGGTGGGGCTTAGCTGGAACAATGGTGGATTTGTGGTCTGGATCAGTTAGTACGGGAAAAAATTTATTCTCAACTAAACTTTTCATGGTTATGATGGAGAGAAGAGGCAGTATGTGTGTAAGAGTGGCTCTTAGTTCATTTCAGCTGAGATAGTTTCTTGGAGTCTTGGTTTAAATGTAATATCTGCCTTCGATTGTTTGACTATATACTTTATGTTGGTTCTATTTCTACAATTTTCATTTTTCTTGTATCTGTAGCACTTGGACAGAAAAGGAGTAGCCTTCTGTACCCGGACAACCTATGATGATAATGCAATTACAAACGCTATATTGATTTACGACAGCTTGAGGTAACATGATAATCGCTGCTTGTCTGTTTGACTGGGACAATATATTGAATAAAACATAGATTGAATTTCGAAGCTATTTTGCAGGGGTGGAATCAATTTTATGGCCTCCAATAACGACTGTAGCATGAGGGAATATGATACAGAAAGATTTCATCTCTTAAACAATTTCCGGTTCCCATGGCCAGTAAATGTAAGCCCATTTAATCGCTACTATATGCCTACTTTATTAATCGAGCTGTTCTTTCTTATCACTTCATGTTCTATTTTATATCCATTAGTTTTAAAGGGACGCAGCAGCTTAAGGGTAGTCATATGGTCATTCATTGTAAATAATATCTTCATGTAATGGAGAGATGTGAATTCGACTTATCGGGTCCGCATTTCAAAGGGAAAAGAGATTGTTGCTTCATGAATTTGTTTAACCGCTCAAAAATTAATGGTTACCTTAATCATTTCTATGACAATTCACAGTCACCTTAATTTTAGTTACTCAGCTAAACTTGCTTTATCCTGATGCAGCATACATCAGTCAGCCCCGACCGAAGGCTTATTACTGTTGTCGGAGATAACTTGGATGGGTTACTTGTGGATTTGCAAAACGGAAAGGTAAAAATAAAAGTTCTCTAATAGGTTATTAGAACTACACAGGTGAACGGCTGAGCCTTGATGCAACGATAAACAAGAAAGTAAGAATTATTATTGGAACTGAATAACGTTTCTTTGCTCACAGACTGTAGCCACGGTGGTAGGTCATCTGGATTACTCCTTTGCATCTGCTTGGCACCCAGACGGGCGCATATTTGCCACAGGAAATCAAGATAAGACCTGCCGAGTGTGGGACATCCGAAACCTCTCGATGCCAGTTGCGACTCTTAAAGCAAACTTGGGTGCTGTGCGGTCAATCCGCTTCTCATCCGACGGTCAATTCATGGTAGTTGCTGAACCAGCAGATTTTGTTCACGTGTATAGCACGCAGGCCGATTACCAGAAAAGACAAGAGATCGACTTCTTTGGCGAGATCTCGGGAGTATCTCTGAGCCCGGACGACGAATCTCTGTATATAGGAATATGGGACAGAACGTATGCAAGCTTGCTGCAGTATAACAAAAGACACACATATGGTTACCTAGATTCGTACTTGTGATTCTGCTGATGAATCTGTGTTCTGTTTTTGTTTATGTAAGAATGACGATGAAATAGTACGACAGTAGAATAAGTGTATGAATCTGTTACAAGCTTGGTAGAAAGGTGCATGTACAGTACATTATCAAACTTTAATGAAATGCTATTTTGGTATCTCATTTTATTAATTTTTTAAATGAAAAGAACGAGTTTAAGACATAATGAATAATTATTATTTTATAATTTTTAATAATCGGGATATTAACAAAAACAAGTCGAGGATTAATTTGTCACTTTTAATAGCCAATGATTATATTAAGAACCAGGATCAAACATATTTCGTGGAGGTCGAGAGTATGGCGGGACAACTGAAGGACAAACAAGTATGTAAGTGGAACCCCCCGGCACACAACTAGTATAAACTGAACACAAATGATGCGACAAAAATTTCGTGGAGGGTTTATATATGGGGGAAAATAATAGTTTAATTGAATAAAATTAATACTACTTATAATAATAAGTCATGTAATTTAGTAAATAGATTTATAATAAATTATGTCACTTGGTGAATGAACTTATTTTTTAGTTTAAAGTTGCATCAATTCAATTATACATATTAGTTTTTTCAACAATTATTTTCATGAAATGTTTTAACTATTCATAAAAAGATTCTAACCTTTTTATTCATATCCCCTCACCTATAAATAGGTTAGTTGAGGCACAATCTTAGACACAACTTTGAGACATAATTCAAAAAATTAAATTAGGAAATCACTTAGAAAATTCCTTTTAAATTTGTTCTTTCCTGTGATAGAGAAAGGCAAAATTGTGTTCGACTGATCACTACGGTTGTGCTTACTGTTGTGATCGTTTGTTGTTGTATCTAGGGAGACCGACGTCCAACGTTACTCAAAGCACCTAGGAGAGGACAAATCTGTCTTAAGGAAACTGTTTATACAGGCCTCAACAAAAATCCTTCTTCAGTTTATCTTACTATAATCATCTGATTATGTGTGTACACATGAGTAACAAGTTTCATTCTTTTATTTTAATTCTTTATAATTATTTTGCTTCGTTCGATTATATAATAATATTTTTTTTATTTTTATCTAGGATTAACATTTTGTCTAACAATCTTAAGACAAATTCATTTTTTTTGTAATCCAAGAGGTCATACAAAAGATTGTATTATTGAAATTACCAATACATACTAATGAATCAGATTTCACTCTATTGATTTTATTGCTCAATTTAACTAGCCATTTTTAATGGCTAAATTACATTGGTTGGTTGGAAATGACATTCCACATATGAAAGACTCCTAGAAGAGATCAACAAATAGTTATCTTCGTGCTCAATCCTTAAAGAAGTTGAAAGCATTATGGATGCATAGGGTAAGACCCCATTAACTTTGTGTTATGACTTCAGAATCTTTTGCAGGTTCAAAGAAAAGAATCTCTATTTTTATCCAGTCCACAAGCCTTGATGTAACGTGACAAGGCTCGTAATTTTTTTTTGCGACGAATGGTGAATTTTGATCAAGAAATCGAAAAGGTATGTGTATTCATACATTGAGATTATACTACTATTTTGGGTTTTATTAAATTCTCACCGTTTAACAGAAGTTAGTTTTGTTTCGAGATTTAATTTATTAAATTCTCGTTGTTCAACAGAAATTGGTTTTGTTTTGGGTTTTAATCCGGTTGTCCAACAAAAGTTGGTTTTGTTTTGGATTTTAGTTTTAAATCCTGACATTTGACGGATTCAACAAAATAGTGTTGATTGTAAATTTCTGTTTCGAGTTTTGGTTTTACTAAATTCCCGTCGTTTAACATAAATTACTCAATTGTTGGATTTTAATTTTGATTAAAAATTTTTGCAATAAATAAGGTACCGAACGAAATTATGATATGTCCGTGAACAAAAATCGGGCCTATAATTCCGTTTCAGGATTTTAATCTTGTTGTTCAACAAAATTTATTTGATTTACTGTTGATAACATAAATCATTTGGATGTTACAACATCGTTACAAATTTTGTTTTAGAATTTTAATTTCTAATTAATTTTTGTTGTTTAACAAAAAAGGGTTTAGAGTATTTACAAATTCTGGTTACATGTTTTAAACGAAACAATGGTAACCCCACTGATTCACCTAACTCGTTATTTGAAATATTGATTCCTATTCAGACTTTGAATAAAATTCACTGATGTCAGTGGTTGTGAGCCACAACGAGAAGCATGTGAAATTCATGGATATAATTTCAAGACGTAGAGACATAAGATGTTATATTTAATCATGCTGAATATGGTCAATATAGGATGATCCTCATATTCGTAGAGAGGATGAGATAGACATTGTTGTCATTAAAGCTTGAAAGCATTCTAAGTTTCTATGTCAGAATTACATCTCGAATGGATTGTCAAATACACCATATGAAGTGTATAGTATCCATAAGATCGCTAAAGAATTATGAATTACATTTGGACATGTTTTGATTTGTCAACAAATTACCTTTAAATAAGGTAACTTACAAGAAAATAGGTAAGACACCATATGAGTTATGGAAATGTAGAAAACTTTCCTACAACTACAACAAAGCGTTGGGGTGCCTTGTATAAGTATAATGGTAAATTGAGACACATATGTCGTTGACATAATATCATTAAACAATTGATCTCAACTAGAGTTATCTATATTGATTTTGTAAGATCAAAAGATAACATTGCGGATCCGCTAAACAATGAGTTGAATTGAGATCAAGTTGATAAACATCGAAAGGAATGTGACTAAAGCCATTAATATTTAAGGCGCTATGTGAAGGAAAATCCAACCTAGTTAACTAGAGATCCCAAGATCTAGGTTCAATGGGACAACCTACTTGCATAAACCTTGTGAGGTCACTGTAGGGGTCCTTATCCCAAGTCCATTCCAATGGTGAAAACATTGACTAAAATATGGAAAATGTTAAGCAATGGTTTTAATGACCACTATGTGTTTCGGTGAGCCGAACAACATAAGTCAGTTATATGAGAGTGAAGTGAAGCCGCTTCAAAGAGACTATTGGGGCATAGTTATCTAAACTCTTGCAGAACCAGGAGATATCCACGGCTATATGGACATAACCATGCGAACCAAATTCTTGTCAGTGAGATATTTGTGTGAGGTATGCCATCGCTTACACCAACAACATGACAGCTCAATGACATCACGTCTACTGGACAACCAATAAGGTAAACATATTTTCACAAGGAAAGGTTCAAAGGGGGACGCCTACCTATCCTATGCAAATATCGAACATAGAATCTATCACCATATCAAGCCAATGTTTGAAATCATCAATTTCATTCATGTAGGGGATTGTTGGAAAATAATAGTTTAATTGAATAAAATTGATGCTATTTATAATAAGTCATGTCACTTGGTAAATAGACTTATTATAATAAATCATGTCACTTGATGAATGAACTTATTTTTTAGTTTAATGTTGCATCCATTCAATTATACCTATTAGCTTTTCAACAATTTTTTTCATGAAATGTTTTAACTATTCATCAAAAGATTTTAACCTTTTGATTCATATCCCCTCACCTATAAATAGGTTAGTTGAGGCACAATCTTAGACACAACTTTGAGAGAGAATTTTGAGACACAATTCACAAAGTTGAATTAGGAAATCACTTAGAAAATTCCTTTTAAATTCGTTCTTTCCGGTGATAGAGAAAGGCAAGATTGTGTTAGACTGATCACTACGGTTGTGCTTACTGTTGTGATCGTTTGTTATTGTATTCTGGGATACCTACATCCAACGTTACTCAAAGAACCTAGGAGAGGACGAATATGTCTTAAGGAATCTGTTTATACAGGCCTCAACAAAAATCTTTCTTTTGTTTGTCTTACTCTACTCATCTGATTCCGTGTCTACATATGAGTAACAAGTTTCATTATTCTATTTTAATTCTTTATAATTATTTTGCTTCGTTCTATTATTTAATAATATTTATTTATTATTATTATTTTTATCTCGGATTAACATTTTGTCAAACAAAATATTGCATGGGAAATAGATTTCCGAGATGTTGTGGTCGAGACGGATAGTAAGGATACTTGAGCAAGGCGTAGACATGGAAAGGATTTCACCTTTGGTTCCACATGTTATTTAACTGTTACAATAGATGTGGAGATTAAAGTTTCTTCACGAGAGTTGTTTAAATTTAGAGTAATTATATATTTAGTATCTAAATTATTAGTTTTGATCCGTTTTAATACCTAAATTTTCAAGTTTTTCAAAACCATATCTATCATTTATTTTTTGTTTCATTTTAGTATCTAGCCGTTAAAAACTTAACGTCTTTGCATTTTTATGTGTAAATTACATCAATCATCACTCAACTATCTTCCCACTCCAATTTTGGTACTAAAGTTTAAAAAAAATTCAATTTAACTACTCAACTTTTAAATTACTCTTATTTTAATCACTCTAATTTATTTTATTAATAATTTTTGTGACATGATATTTTTTATTATTATTTTATTGATATATAATTAAAAATAAAAAAATAAATTTGAAAGTTAGAGTGATTAAATTAAAAAAATTAAACTTTAGTGACAAGGATAGGAGTGAGAAGATAATTGAGTGATAAATGATACAATTTACCTATAAAAAGTGCCACACATATGAATCACCCACTAAACTTTTAACGGCGAGGTACTAAAATGAAATATAAATTAAACGTTAAGTATAATTTTAAAAAAAATTAAAAGTTTAAGTATTAAATCATATCAAAATTAATAGAGATATTAAAAGCATAATTTATTTTTTAAAATTATAATTAAATTTAAACATAATCTCAAACAAATCCACCTCTATTTACAAAAACTAAATAAATTTAGAGATTACTCCAAACATTCACGGGTACAAAATCATGGACCACATGGCACCGGCACTCCCGTGGATGCTATTTTAACTCATTATTACTTTACAATTCTATTGTCGTTTTCCTTTTGTATTTTCCGAGATTCTTCTGTTGTTTGATAAATATATTTTTAAAAACATGATTTTATTGAATACTAATAATTTCTTTATTATCGAAGTAGTTTGATTATTATTTATATAATATTAAATAATACGTGATAGTAAATATTCACAGTTAAAAGACAATTAATTACGTGTTTTCTCTAAAT